CGATGTCGACGATCATATACGTCAACGGAAGGTGAGAATGGGCTACCCCCACAAAGGTGGAGCCTGCCAACTTCGTCATCTTTGAACCCTTTCCATTGGTTCCGCACCCGACCAAGAGTTCCCCGTTCGGGTTACGCATTGTCTCCCATGAAGGAAGTCGAGCTCGCGGTCATTGAGCTCGCCGGCCTCGCAGAGCAGGAACAAATGTGCGTTGGCTGTGCGATGGTCTTACTCAGAAGGCCAACGCTTTCACCCGAATCGTCAGAATCGATGGTGTCGGAGTAGAGCGATGGTGCAGTGCGCTTCCGATTTCGAGCAAAGCTTCCCAAATTGAGAACCAGGGCCGTATACTTCGTTCTGCTGTTATAGATGGGAGGTCCCTCCTCGGCAGGACCGATAGGCTTCGGCATCCTCTCAAGGGAGAGGTCCCCGAGTTCATCGTCGTCCACGCCAGCTGCCAAGAAATAATGCAACATAGCGTTCATCAATTCTTCCCGGCTTGCAGAACGGCGGTCCTTACTCAGCTCTCGAAGTCGCTCCAGAAGCATGTGGTTCAACTCTAATGCCTCTTCACGAGCGGCGGAAGCACGAGCCGTTTCCTCGTCGTCGAGGGTGCTTCGATAGTCTCCAGCTCGAAAAACAACATCTAGCTTGGTGCTTCGACGATTGTAAATCGGCTCCATTTGGGTGCCCGTAGCCGTTGAGCTGGTCAGCAAGTTTCATGAGCGGGCTCATTCGTTCCGCAAGGTGATAAGCTTCACGGAAGTTTTGATAATCAACCGTATCGGTCAACCCTTCCTTCTCCTTTTCACCTGCGAAGTCTTCGAAAGCTTGCTCATTCTTTGCTTCCGCTTCGGCCGTGGCTCTGGCCTCTGCCTCGTAGGCCCCTGGCTCCACGTACGTCTTCTGTTTTCCCCAGATACCCTGCTCGTAGAGGTTGTCATCATCGTTGGCGGCATCAGAGGAAAAGTTGAGATCAGGCATGGGTTCCTCTCCAGAGGGAGAGCTTCCCGAACCATCCTTGACGTCGTGGTCGCCATCCTCGCCAGCATCATCCATACGCACATCGTCGGGGGCTGCTACCGCTTCAAAAGAAGTGCGTTCAGCCTTTTCGACCTTCACACCAGATTCCTCTACAGAGGGAGAGCCTTCTGGTGCATCGGTCTCCATCGGTGCACTGGCACCAGCCATCTCTCCAGAGGGAGAGTCCGCTGGCGCATCGGCGGAGCTGCCGGCTTGGTTCATGGGCTCGTCGACTTCCTCGATGGTAGGTCCAGGGAGATTGGAGATGAATTCCTCCACAACGATGTTATCGAAAGGACGCGTGTAGAGCTCATCAATCTCCCGAGCACGCTGGGAACGAAGGTTCTCATACGAAATAAGATCCGCATGAGCTTTCTTCCCGAAGGCACAGGTGAGAGCGGGCGTACCCATCTCTCGCAACTGTTTCTCCAGTGCGGCAAGGACCAGTGGCGCGTTCCAAGTCTCTCTGAAGGAGGTGTCGTACAAGGTGTAGCCCTCCCGAGTAGAGATTTTGTACTTACGTCTGACCTCGAGGTTGTCGCAGTGTTTCTGCATGTAGCTGACGAAATCTGGCCCGTAGGCCTGGGACACTGCAGAGACCACCGTGGCAAAATCCGCCCGAACTGCCTTAACCTCAGCCCATACATCGCTTTCAAAGCAGAAAGCATTGTAGAGCATGAGTTTGGCAGCGTAGTCGGGGTCGTCCTTTTTCGGCTTCTTGTTCCTGGGACGGCGCGAACTCACGGCGCTGGGCATGGCTGAGCTCCTCCAGGAAAGTGGAAACATCGTTGCCAGTCCCCTTGTCCAAAGGAGATTTATAGCCCTGAGAATAGGCCTTCCCCTTCCAGTTGAGCTCCACCAGCATATTGCCCTGCATCTTTCCCAGTTCGAAGCCCTTGAGAAAGAAATGGACGGCATAGCCACTCAAAGGGTGGCTTAGCCAGGACGCCCAATTGTACTCGGAACCCAGAAGCTTCCGTATATCGATCGGCAAGGAACTGAAAGGTGTCGTCTTCATTAATGTGTCCCCGTAAGGAGCATACATCTTGTTCCCTATCGAATACTTGCGGGGAGCAATCCGTGGTGAAAGAAGTGCCACGACTTGTACCTTGCCTTCTGGATGATGTCCCTGAGTTCTTCCTCCTGCTGGAGACGAGTAGCGTCCACTCGCCCATGCACGGTATCGTCCGCCTCATAGGAGTACCGAGTAGTACCTTCTTGGGCGGTGGACCTCTTGGCTGCCTCTCGAAGTTTATTCTCTGGAATGAGACGACGTAGCGAAGCTTCATCCACAACAGATACCTCTGCAGAGGGAGAGCCTCCTGTTGGCGAGGACTCAGCACCCGTAAATGCCTTAGCCTTCGCCTTCTTCTTCGGCATAGCCTTCTGGCGGACTTCTCTAGTGCCAGTGAGTACCTCTCCAAGGGGGGAGCCTCCCGCGGCATCAGAAGAGGAAGCGGCTGCCGATGGAGTTGCCTCCTCAAAGGAGGAGGTTACTCCTGCTGCACGCTGTTGCTCTTCGTGCTTCAGTCCACCTGGGTCCTTCTCGCGGGGAGGCCTAAAGTGGAACGTCAAATACATAGGAGCCACATCGTGATAGCACAAAACGACACCGTTATCTGCCAAAAAGAGCTCGTGCCCGTGATTGAAGAAGGGCCGATGTCGAGCTGTGCAAAAAAGATATTGCTCCCGTATCGGACGACCGTGCCAGGGCCAGGAGAAGCAGACCCACCAGCGTAGACAAAGTGAGTTGCCACGCGGCGGCATTGCCATCCCTGCCTGGTGGCCCGCACAAGGAGACCATCACGCTTGATGGATTCGTAGTTGTGGTTCTCGGAAGCGTGAAAAATGAATCCGAGTTCCATTGCCCTCTGCTGGGTCAGCCTTTCCCCTTGGGCGATATCCGACACCTGCTCAGGTAAGCGTGAGTGTCCCTGTATCGCGGAGATGCCGATGGAGAAGTCCCAGTCCAGGAAGCGCTTAAAACTGCAGGCAATAGGTGCAATCCACGTCTGGAAGCGGCCCTGGCTGTTCGCCATTAGGAACGCAAAGAATTTCTGTGGCGACCAGCTGAAAGGCCTGATAAACGATGCATCATGTAACTGCTCCACAGTGGCTTCGAGGTACTTCCCCAAATTGAGCTTCTGATTATGCCTCAGCATTCCTGACAGTGCTTTTGAATTCTTCACTGCCCATCCATGCTGATGGCTCCTCAGACCGGCCATATCTTCGATGTCAGCGGCGATCTCCTCGAGCTGCTCTTTGGGCAAGGAGCCTAAGCAGCAACTGAGGAATTCGATCTTCCAGCAGAGATTCTTCTGCAGGAGCCGCGTGCCCGGGTGAGCATCCCCATAGGTTCGGACATAATGCAGGAAGGCAATCTGTTCTTCATTGAGGTTGGTAACAGCCATCTCCGCAAATGGGAAGTACGCTGAAAGCGTCTGATGCGGT